AGGTTGCTTCCCGGAGCCGGACTCTGTCACTGACATGTGACGTGACAGCTCCGTCCTCCCCGTCGCCGCAGCCTCTGTATTATAAGGAGGCCAAAGATTAAGTATGGCAGCCAAGGAACTGACGCTCAGCAACGGCCTCTCACATACACCTCTCATGACAGGTGCACTTTAAAGCATACCCGTCATATGTGCTCTGGTTACAGACTGTACCGGCCCAGCTCCCCTATCCTCTACTGCACCTCGCACACATGCTCCCTAACTTCCCCGACCCGCAATGCACTGCTCGGCGCCGGAGAGTCCTGTTGCCGGATCTGAACATTGTCACATGTTGTCCATGTCTGAAAAGGACCAGAGGGGGGAGGGGAATCAGTAGACTAATGTTCAGTCTGGGATGGACGGCTACAATGTAACAACTTCTACACCTGCAGTGATTGGACAAGGATGGGGGGGCACTGATCACTGTGCAGAGAATATCCAATCACGTGATTGGAGGATGGAGGTCAGCAGATCTTCAACAGCCTATTGGTCTTTATTAAATCCATTCCCCCCCCCCTCCTGCAGCCAACCAGAAACACGAACTCTCCATTCCCCCGAGGTAGGGATCGCCTGGGAGTTCCAGTCTGTCTCTAACGGTGTGGGTTACAGGAGAGGTCTGGGAGGCTGCTGAGGTTCAGCTCTCCACAGAATATAAGGAGAGAGGAGATGTGATTTCTGTCATTATTCCCACTTGTCATATCTTATAGATTTTCTGGGAGCTTTACATGCACCCACCTTCCCGCAAACCGAGGACTGCACCTCACTGAGATTGTAGTTGGTTGGTGGGTGTGGTGAAGTTCCATGTCAGAATTTACCATGAGCCCATACTCTGTCCATGCTGGACATATACTTCCCTTTCCTTCCAGCTCTGCTGATTCTTTTACTTCCTTGAGTGAAGAAGAACTCCCGGTGCTTCTAGGTATGGGAAGCATGTGACTCATTTCTTGGGAGCTCAGGGATGGTGGGAGCTCCTCATAATGGGCACAGCGGGGGTACAGACCCGGGAACTCAGCACCGGGATGGTGGGGGCCCCTCATAATGAGCACAGCGGGTGTACAGCCCCGGGAACTCAGCACCGGGATGGTGGGGGCCCCTCATAATGAGCACAGCGGGTGTACAGCCCCGGGAACTCAGCACCGGGATGGTGGGGGCCCCTCATAATGAGCACAGCGGGTGTACAGCCCCGGGAACTCAGCACCGGGATGGTGGGGGCCCCTCATAATGAGCACAGCGGGTGTACAGCCCCGGGAACTCAGCACCGGGATGGTGGGGGCCCCTCATAATGAGCACAGCGGGTGTACAGCCCCGGGAACTCAGCACCGGGATGGTGGGGGCCCCTCATAATGAGCACAGCGGGTGTACAGCCCCGGGAACTCAGCACCGGGATGGTGGGGGCCCCTCATAATGAGCACAGCGGGTGTACAGCCCCGGGAACTCAGCACCGGGATGGTGGGGGCCCCTCATAATGAGCACAGCGGGTGTACAGCCCCGGGAACTCAGCACCGGGATGGTGGGGGCCCCTCATAATGAGCACAGCGGGTGTACAGCCCCGGGAACTCAGCACCGGGATGGTGGGGGCCCCTCATAATGAGCACAGCGGGTGTACAGCCCCGGGAACTCAGCACCGGGATGGTGGGGGCCCCTCATAATGAGCACAGCGGGTGTACAGCCCCGGGAACTCAGCACCGGGATGGTGGGGGCCCCTCATAATGAGCACAGCGGGTGTACAGCCCCGGGAACTCAGCACCGGGATGGTGGGGGCCCCTCATAATGGGCACAGCGGGTGTACAGACCTGGGAACTGAGCACAGGGATGGTGGGATTTCCACTCACCTCATATTGGATGCCTTCCAATGGTTATGTAACCAATATATGACTATGGACCTGGAGCAAGGAATTGTCTCCCCTCCTCCCCCCTCCTTTGTGGATGTCTGGCCCCCCTTAATTCCTTTTGTTCTAATGGTACCCCGCATTTGGAATGCTGTTTTTGACTTTACCAGATGGATACGTGGCGCCTATATAACTGTACTGTGTGTACTCTGTATTGAAAACCAATAAAACTGAAATAATTAAAGAATGTCCGTTGGG